TGATATTAATAAATACCTTTTCTGAGAAAAGGTCAAAACTTCTGGAATACCCCTCTTATATATATATATATATATATATATATATATATATATATATATAAAAAAAAAAAAAAAGGTCAATATTGGCAAAGAGCATTTATATATATTGATAGTGTAAACGTAGAAATCAATACTAATATTAATGACTATCAGTTTCATTTCTCAAAAGATATTGAGGAGTGAAACTGATAACCACCATGTAGTGTCTATTCTTATGTCTACACTGCTTATATATATATATATATATATATATATATATATATATATATATATATATATATATATATATATATATATGATCTAACTTGATCAACAATTTGAACAAAGCCTGTAAGCTCTACACAATTTCAATGGCAAGGCTTAAGTCAATCCATAGTACAGTTTTCAAGCACTTCTCACTTTTCATTTATTCATATATATATATATATATAATTTTTGAGGATCTCCAGGTATGTATTTTTGTAAGTTTAAAACATAAAGGAATCCCCTGATTAGTGCAGCTAATATGTACATCAGTAACTATAAAAAAGTTACTTTTTAATTACTATGGTTAAACTGAAAAATTTTAACTGCACAAATTAAAATTTTTATAAATTTTAGCACACTAATCCAAAACACATTAATCAAATGCCCACTAATTGAGGGATGTCTGTATATGTAAATAAAAGTTACTTATGTACATACTTAAATCCTGTTTTCCTCAGTTACTTACACATTAAGAGACTGGTGATAAATGTATTCATATTCTTATAAAATCTACTTTGCACACATTTCTGTTCATGTACACATACATGCACATAGATGCACTCATGCACTGATTTATGTATGATACTTTGTACACACACATTCTTGGAAAAAATATACATAATCTCTTACATGCACACATGATGCACATCTTTGAAAATACCGATTTCCACTTTCTCCCTCATCCTTCTCCTTTTTCTCCCTTTCACTCTGTGTGTATTCATATACTTATATACCTAACGCTGGACTCCCTCAGGCATCTTTGGGGGCCACATACAGAAATTTCATTCCCCAAACTAAAGCATCCAATTTCAGCCCGCATTTCTTGACCTGACCCTTAGATCATAAATTGCTATCAGAAAAATATTCTGATTCTTCTTTATTCCCCACCCCTTCAATACCCCTATATTCACCAGAGAGACAATGACATTCACTCGAATGGACACTTCTTCATCAGGATGTTTTCCACCATAATATGGAGTAAAAATCCTGGAATAAGGTGGAATTGAACATTCTACAAATGAAAGCAAAGTGCAAAGCTGATAGAAAATCTTAATAAGTTTTCTATTACTATACTTTGTAACAAGCAAGTCCTGATTTCAAATGAAAGTTTAAAGCTTTTCCCCCTTACATTCAATCTTATTAAGGAACTAGTTGACATTACTTTATACTGTTTGGGAAGAAAAATCTATATAAATTTAGATTTGGTAAAATGAACAAATTAGATTCAAATTATAGCAGACACATTATTAGAATATAGTCTCTTAAGTAATCAGTTTCAGACAAAATAAACGTCTTGCTATTGAAAATTATTAAGAAGTTACAATATCTCTACCAAGTGGGTACCAACTTAAAATAAAATTTAATTAACTGATAATCTATGGAGAAAGATAAATACACATCATCTAAACATATATGCAATTATTAATCTGCAAAGTTTCCAGCTTTTAAACATGTTTAGTTATAAATTTATTAGAAATATTATACCCTTTAAATAACACACATTCAAATAGAACTAAGCGTTGTTCTATTAAATATGTGTGTATATTGTTGTGTTTCATGCTATGTCTATGTACCAGATATATATAAACAGACATCATATCAAATAGCCAGTCTGTGTAAGGGAGTATAGTTGGAGTTGAAGTACTAAAAGGAGTAATTAAGAAATCTTCCTGTGTTCAGATTATTTCCTGTTATTTTTGGTCTTCAAAGAAACTTGACTACAGAAAAGAAACAATTTTTGTAAAACACTTCAACTTTTTGTAGAATATAACAAATTTGGATTTACACTTTGTCTGTGTAACTCTAAGTAGAAGCTTATAAAGCTTTATTTGATTCACTTTCTTTAGAGCTGAAAAACTTCTAATTATTGTGATGTCTTCCTTTTTTCTTTTTATATGGTTTCAATATTTTTACAAATTTTCACCTCCCCCTCAACATTCTAAAACTACAAACATTAAGAAATGGTTTTAACAGTAAATGTTATTGCTGTCTAGAATACATAAATAATCCCTTAAGTCACAATTTTTTTCTTTAAGTATTTTTTATCTTAAAAAATACTGTATGCTTAAATTTCACAATTTTTAAAATATATTTTTTTCACTTACATTGTTCAGACTGTTATCCTCATCTTCATTGCCTTATTCACAACATTTCGGCTATTGTACACTCTGGCCTTCTACAGGTTATTGGAATTTTGAACTGAAACCCTTTATTTTGTCCACTGGGGCAGATTGTTCTAGTTCCACGTGCCATGCCTCTTCCGGATGTCTCAGTTATTTCCCTTTAACTAAACACTCCAAGTTTTTGGTCCACCACTGCTGTAGCCTGGTAATGAACTCACAACTGTGTGGGTCAAGTCACTGGATTTAAACCTAACCCTTTATCCACTGGACCATACGTCCTTGAGGTATGAATTTTTGGGACTTACAAAACCTAATGTCTCAGTAACCATTTTTTTTTTTTACCACTGCTCATTTTGCAATTTTTTTTGTTATTATTGCAGAGTCTATATTGCAATTTTTTGTTGTCATTCATTGCTTTTCTGTAGAACTTCTTAATACTGGTTCCAATAGTGTATTCATTTCTATGCTTGATCAGCTCAGGAAATTTTTGTGGCCTAGCATATATGCTGTTTCCTTAAGTTTTCATATTTCCTAGTGATGTTCTCTGTCTATTATTTCAACCTCATCCCACAGAGAGCAGTGATACTTTTCCCTCCATATATGGTCAGCTATACCTGATTTTTCCACTTCCCCTTGTGTTACTGCTTTACATTGTTCTTATAGTCTCACCTTAAGGAGGTGGCCTGTTTTGCCTTTATATTTCTTACCACAGCTGCATGAGATGGCATATACATAGTCCTTAGTCATGTTCTCCTCTATGGGTGGGTATTACTCAGAAGAGTTATCTGCAAAGTGTTGAACCTCTTTTGAAGATTGTCCTGATGCTATATAGATCACAGATCTTTTGCAATTTCTCTGATAATCTCTTCACACAGGGTAGGCAGACTGAAGCTGCTTTCTGAATGTTGTTATTCTCTTGTACCCCCCTATCCTAGTTTGTTAGAGCTGTTGCCATGTACCCAGGTAGTTGTTGCCATGTACCAAGGTAGTTGTTATGTTGTAGGGTACTGCTTATACAGACCATTTCTTGTTCAAATGTCAAATGTTTTTTTTTAATTTATAAGATATTCTTATTACAAAAGCAGATAAAATACTTCCTCAGCTTTTGCCTCTCTAGTGTCTATGCTATATATTATATATTTGTTTATAAATTGAAAGATTTATTTTCAAACTACTTGGCTTATGTGTGAACAAAGCATTTGAAGTTATATCTTAATACAAACCTTGGAAGATTACTTAAATGTTTGCCAAATATACACAAATCTGAAAACCTATAAGATGAATACAGAGCATTTGTTTTTTAAAACTGGTGCAATTTCATCTCCAATACAAAATAACTAGCTATGTAAACCAGCAAACCAGTTTTATAAACTATTGCTACTGTAATGAATCTAAACCTCATTTAATAATTTTTACATGCAGAGTTGTGTATGATTAAGCCAAGCTTGGTAAACAGGCACATCACTTTATAATAAGAAGTGAGAATTAGAAATTGGAAATACCAAAATCAAACAAGTATGGAAAGTTAATTATATTGGGAAGTCTTTTAACAGAGGATGGAAAGTGTGATACTGAAAACCAAAGATGTATTGGGATAGCCAAAGATGCATTCCTAAAGCTAAGTACTAAACTGTTACATTATATATGTCCTCCTGTATGGCAGTGAATGTTGGACAATCTCCTCAAAGGTGAAGAAGAGACTTGAAGCAACAAAAATGTGGTTCTACAGAAGGATGCTGAGAATATTATACAACTGAATATATGAGCAACAATAATCAGAAAGAGAGAGTTATAATTTCTAGTACCTCAGTGGATGATTTGTTCATAACTAACCAAAGCTTAGTATATGAGTACCATAGGAAACGTGTTACTATGAGTAAGAAACTAATGATTCATCTTTTTAAAAACTGTTCAAATGAGATAAACTAACCATAACTGCAGTATGAAGATTGAAAAACATTTTTTTGTTAGAATTTTACTTTAAGAAGATATTATCACAGAATAATAAAAGTTTATACAATTCATGTATTTTCTGTCACATAAATAATGACAAACCTCATTAGACAGGCATCAACTGAACTTTACCTTGAAATAATGACAATAAGCCTCACCAGCCAAGCACTAACAGAGACATTATCCAATGTTCAAAGAAGTGAAATGAAAAAACAAACTTAATGTTAACATAGGAGAAAAAGAAATTTAAGTTTAATATATGTTTGTGTATGTATAGATATATAGTTTCTCTTATTGAATAGGGCTTCATTAATCAGTAGATTGAAATGGTATATATATATATATATATATATATATATATATATATATATATATATATATTTATTGTTGAGCCAACCAAACTTTTAAAATGGATCTGGCTGAAGTAAAGGGAGTATTGGATTCACAGATTCAGACACCAGACATATCTAATGGATTAAGTTAGCTCAAGGGAAATTGCCATTGGTGGTGGGGAGGGGGCGCTGATTGGGTGTGTCTGTAGTGAAGGTCTGGATGGTTTGTGGTAAAATGTAAATGGATTTTAATGGGAAGATATTTATGAAGAATGGAAAGCAGATGAACAAGAGAAAGTATGATTATTTATTTCTTAATGGAAAAAGGTAAATGACAGTAAGAAAGAAGAAAGAATGAAAGAAAGAAATACAGACAAAGAGAAGAGAAAAAGACAATCACAGAAAGAAAGAAAGAAACAAAGAGAAAAGTGACAAAAAAGAAAAGGAAAAGTGATAAGAAAGAAAGAAATAATGATAGAAAAGTGAGAAGAAAGAAAGAAAGAAAGAAAGAAAACAGGGAAAGAAGAAAGAGAGAAGAGAGACAGAAAGAAAAAGGGAAAAGAACACGAAAAAGAAAGACAAAGAGAGAAGAAAGGAAGAAAGAATGGAAAAGAAAGGGAAAAAGGAAGAGAGAAAAGACCAAAGAAAGAAAAAGAAAGAAAGGAAAACAAATAGAGAAGAAAGAAAGAAAGAAAGAAAGAAAGAAAGAAAGAAAGATAGAAAGAGAAAAAGAAAGAAAGAAAGAAAGACAAAGTGAGAATAAAGAAAGAAAGAAAAAAAGGAAGGAATAAAGAGAAAAAGAGAATAAAGAAATGAAAGAGAAAAATGTCAGAAAAACAGAGAAAGAAAGAGAGAAGGAAGGAAAAATGTTGTCTATATTGAAAAAAGATGGTGAGATTTATAAAAAACAAACATCAACTCATTTTTTATTTGCTGCATTGGAATATATGAAGAGATAAAGTTTAGAAAATAGATAGAGATAAAGAGGAAAAAGGAATGATGAGAAACAAAATATGAAAGTAGAAAGAAAGTGAGTAACTTCAAAGACCGAGACGAAAAAGAGAAGTAAAAGAGGGAGGAAAAAGAAAAACAAAGAAAAAGATGGAAGGACAGATAAATAAATGAATCAAATGATTAACATATAGATATTTACTAAGCTTAATCCAGTCAGTCACAAGGCCAAATAGTGGTGAGGCTTAATGATTGAGATTTTGTTGCTCCAGTCATGAAACCAGCATGCCTGCTTACAAATCTATATTCAAAATCCTGACTTTTATATGGAGTTCAAACACTGACCCCCAACCACCAAGAGAAATACACAACCACCTTAGCCATTAGAGAGAGGGACAGAGGTGAAGAGATATAGATATAGAGATAGTGAAATAGATTGCTTGAGGGATAGGAAAAAGTCTAGAATGTTTTTCCGTTAGAGAACAAAAAAAAAAGGAGACAAAGAGAGAAAACCTCAAAGAAATCACAATGCAAACAACGAAATGAATGCCTCAGATAAATAAAAAAAAAAATTGGCAAAGCTGCAATAATAACAGAATGTATAAGTAAAAGACAACAGAAATTGAATTACACCTCCACCCCTCCCAGCATCCCCTCCCCACTTGCTGTTCTTACTGACTGAACCAAACCAAACAAAACACTTTTGAGAAGTTAAATTTTAAGGAAAGCAAATCAAATCAGGTATCAATTTATTTTCTGACAAAAAACCAATTTAATTCCACACTGAATGTTGCAGACTCATCGTGTTGTTTTGGCAAAACTGTGCTACCATATCAGCCATTTAGAGGAAGTTATGGTCTGCTGAATAGCAAATTTGACAAAATACTCTCCAATAGAGAGCCAAAAGAAAAAGAGAAAATTAGCACACACACGCATATATATATATGTATGTATATAAGCATGTGGGTGTGTATGTGTGTATAATGTATATGTGCATTCAATGATGCACATATTGTTACATCAAAATAGATGAATAAGAAAGAATAATCACAAAAATAGTCAAAAACACATATTTCAATTCCCAGTTTTACATTGTGCAACAAGAGAGGGATTATTTTTTTATCACTAATATACTTATAAGAAAAGGTTGAGGCAAAAAAAGAGATGAAATTATCAAAGTGAGTGACAGAGAATATAGAATAAAACTGTATGGAGAAAGAAAAAATAAAGAATGAAAGAATGAATAAATGAATGAATGATTGAAAGAAAGACTGAAAGAAAGAATGGATAAATGAATGAATGACTGAAAGAAAGACTGAAAGAAAGAATGAATAAATGAATGAATGATTGAAAGAAAGACTGAAAGAAAGAATGAATGAATACAGGACAGTGAGATTTTTTTAATAAGTGGCAAATGAAGTACATAAGAAAAAAAGAAATGAGTCTTGAATGAAAGAAAAGTGAGAAAATACCTTATAAGAGAAAACTAAAATAAAATAAAAAAAAAGAGGAAGAATGAAAACTACAGATAAACTTCCATGAAAAAAAAAAAAAAGACAGAAGGGAGGAGAAACTTTAGATGTTTTCATTTTGCAAAAATGTTAAAAAACCCAAGTAAGAAAGAGATTCAAAAATGAAAAAAAATGACCGAATCGAGAAATGTGAGTGATGGAGACAGAGAGAAAAAAATAAGCAGTAAAGAAACATGAAGTAGCAAAAGGATAATAAAAAGAGAAAAAAACAAAAAAAAGAATAAAAAAAAGTTAAGGGAGACATCTTCGGAGAGAAAAATAGGGGAAGAAATATTAACTAAAAGCATGAAGATAAGAGAATAAAAAAAAAAAAGGAAAACTGAAAATGGTAATAATAATATTAGCCATTACCCTACAAAAAAAAGCATTTGGCATTCATTGACTGAACAGCCAGTACAGTTTTTGGTTGAAATTTACAAAATCTTTCTCTTAAAAACAAATTTTTCAGGAAAATAGGTTTCTCAAGTCCAGTAGATGTTATTGCTCTGAGGTTTCCTTCCTAACCTTTTATTTGAAGTAGTGTGGAATGTTAACATCTTGATTATATTATTACTTTCTCTTTGATTTACATGTGCTATCCATTTCAGTTGTTGCAGCTGTTGGTAGTCCTCAAGTGATGTGATTACTATTATTTCATACAGTTCTTGGTTTGTGATTCCATAGCAATGGTCCACAATGTTCAAAGAAGAATAGTCTTTGCCAAAACCCTCAGGTTTCACATGCAAAAGTAGTTGTATACAGCTGACAGTTTAGATATTCATCAATATAAATGTTATCCATATAAAAGTCTCAATCTGACGAGGCTATTTAAGAACATGATTCAAGCTTTCAGATTGATGTTTTGTTTTTGTAGCAACTTTTAGCATTGGGTAAAACTACTTCTGGTGTAGCCTATTCTATGTTCAATTTCCTTATCTCCTATACTAAATTTGTTATAACAGACTAGCAGCATGACCCGGCATTGCCCGTGCTTGATTCAAAAATTTTACAACTCATACAGCAATCGCTATCACTTGACTTAAAATATTTTTGCCCTTCCTTGCCTTTAAAGGAGTTCCCTTTGCTGTGTGCTGATGTTGCTACATGCCTTACTTCTTGCCTATCTCACACTGCAAATTTTTTCTAAGCTCTATACTAAACATTAAATCATTACGAAAAAGAACTAAACAAAATGAACACAAAATGATCAGCTTTTAAAAAGGACTCGTAACTGGAAAAACCGAATGAAAAAAAGAATGTTAACAACAAATACTTTTCACACACACAACCCAGTTCTGTGGATTCAGAAGCAACGTTGAGTTTAAACAAGCGAATGAGCCAATTGAAGTAAAAAGTGCCATGCAGATTTAAATTTTCCCACTTGTGATGAATGCAGCTATCGATTTTTGCATGCTAGCATACTAGTTAACATTCATGTCAGCCAGCTGTTGGCTCTCACGCTGACCAATTGAATCTTCCTGCCTATTCGTGGCAGCCAGCTACAGGCTCTTACTCTGGCCAGTAGAAAATAGCCGCAAACTACATGAAAACTGCTGTAGAAGCATGAAAAAATTGATTATTTCCACTATCGATGAGAGTTGGGAAATGCAAAGTTGGTCTTGGCCTTCCCACTAACTTGGAGCATGTGCATGTAAATTTTGGTGCAAATCTATCGAAAATTGTGGCCGTGCATTCGTTACACAGATACACACACATACTGCCTTTTATTGATAGAGATTTATACACCAAGGTATTTGAAGTGTTTGGTAATTAATAACTCCACATCCTGAATTTTTATGATGGACTAAGAGTAGGTATCATCACTGCTATCATTCCAATTCCAGATTATAGTTTTTGTTTTGAAAAGCTTTTCCTTGTGTCTTATTTCTTGTAACACTTCATAGAGGATGTTGATTTTCTTTTCAAGGTCATTTTTAGCTCAAATATGAATAACTATATCATTAGCATAACTCTCCTCCATCAGTAAATTGGCCTTGGAAGGTAAAGCAAGGTTGTTGTCTTCAATTGGTAGATTTCTTTGGGATGTGGTATGAAATGCTTAGTGAAAAGAGAAATACTGGATGTACAATCAGAGAGGTACAAATGGGTAAAGAGAATAAGAGAAAGGAAAATAATAATTCCCTAAATGAAATTGAGTGGAAAAAAAAGGAAGAAAACTAGGAAGAAAGAAAAATAGAAAAATGATTATTCATTTTTGGCTAGCCTCATTTTCTTCATCTCATTGTTGCTTTTTATCAAAACTCTCTAGACCAAATCCTCTACATTAAAACTGTGCAGGATGTATACCAGTTCTTAGTATGAAATGTGGAAGCAGTGAAGTGATTTCATATTTCAGCTTTATCTGTTGTATTCACTTTAAACAAATGTCCTTAGAAAGGCATGACTTCATCATTTCTTCTTCCTAACAGCAGGTTAGACTAACTTTTCTATCTTTGATTGACAACTTATCTTATATATATATATATATATATATATATATATATATATATATATATATATATATATATATATATATATATATATATATATATATATATATATATATATATATATATATATATATATATATATATATCCGTTATAACTGGGTATTGAACTCACACTCTATAGCACAGTGGATAAAGGCATTGGTTAGATCCAGTTACAGGACCCAAAGAGTGTGAGTTCAATACCCAGTTAAGGCAGTGGACAGCTTGGAGAGGGGAATTAACAGGAGATAACTAATAACTGACATCCATTAAACATGGAACTAGAAAGTCTAGCCCAGTGAGCGAAATAAAGGGTTCAGTTCGATATCCCAACCACCTGAAGAAGGCTAGAGTGTACAACGGCTGAAACGTTGTGATAAATATGGTGACAAAGATGAGGACAATAGTCCGAATAATGTAAATAGTATATATATATATATATAGATAGATAATTATACGTTTTACCAGTTTATGACTGGAAGGGATAATTCCGAGGAAGATATAAATGCAGGGAGGACTCAATGTAGACTACAGAGCATTATAATGATAAAAATAAATGCTTAAGCTTTACCATAGTAACACTGAATTTTATTTAGATTAAGATTAATTTAATTAAATTAATCTGAATTGACCTGATTTATCTTGCATAAACAGTATTGGCCAAAGCAAACAGTATTGGCCAAAGTAAAATACAAACCAATATTAAAATCTAAAAGTGTAGAGTAAATTCTTGGTTGATGAAACCGACTACTCTTAACCCCAACTCTCTAGGCCCTATCTTTACCCAACCCCTCTCTTACCTTCCCTCCCCACTACCAAACTAAAATGTCCACCTGGTATACTTTCTACATTCACGGAGCATCTCGTGTTCAAAAATTATAAATGAAATGGATAATTAAAGTCTCCATCTTCTTATTATCAAGATATATATATATATATATATATATATATATATATATATATATATATATATATTTATTTCAAAAAAAAAAGTGATGGCTTTTTATTTATTAAATGGTATATTTTCAACTACCACCTGAAATATTTGAGAAATATTGTTAAAGAAAAATATGCACTCTCCACCTTGGCAGGAGAAACTGACTTTGCCTGTACCTTTTTTATTTTGATGTCTTGTCTTTCATTATTTGTTATATCTTTCCAAATATTTAAATTTTTATTCTTGCTTGATTCTGACCTACAGTCTGTAGCTTGCATCTTGAACTGGCTCTCTCTCTCTCTCTCTCTCTCTTTCTCTCTCTCTCATATATATATACATATATATATATATATATATATATATATATATATAAATGACCACGCATTATTTTCTTGCAACTGATAGTTAGTCCTTTCTTCCTGCTTTCTTTTACGACCTTTTCTGGTAATTCCTGCAGTTTTCTTTCTGTGTTGGCCATCAATACTGTATCATCTGTATAGGTAACGCTGTTTTATTCTGAATTTAATGTAAATTAAATTAAGTTTTAAAAGATCTGCCTGTTTTCTTATTATTCATCTTTCCAGTCTCAACTAAATTTAATTTACTGAAAAGGTTTTGATCCTTCACTCTGCTTAAACATTTCTTGTTTCTATATGGCTTTACAGAATCATGATGTCTTGAAGTGTTAATATGAAAGTCATTCAAGTTATGTCCCTGAAAATAGTAACTATGATAATGACAACAACTGTCTGTCATAACTCAAAAAATTCTCATTACAAATATTGACCATACTTAAATAAGTATTTTCTTGGCTAGTTTAATTCTGGCTCGAGACTGCATTTAAAAGCAAGGATTTAACTTACTTAGTATTGGCTTTTGTGTTCAGCAAACAGAACTGAAAATATTACAGCAAATGCTTTAACTCAAATCTGAATAATTTCTATTGAATTGCAGGTAGTTGTAAAATATCATAGTGATACATCCTGCAAGATGCTCAACAAGATGATAGGCACTACTACACAAAGTTGTCTAAGTTGAAACAAGGATAAAATGTTCTGATTATAATTGTTCTGGAAATTTTAAGCCATTTTGATTAGATTGATGATATTGTTTCATGGCTGAGTCATTGAAGAAATGTCAAATACCTAATCTATACAGAAATATAAAGGGATTGAGATAGCTAGACAAATACAAAGATGCTGAGATAGGTAGACAGAAAGAAAGAGGCTTAGATAGATAGATAGATAGATAGATAGATAGATAGATAGATAGATAGATAGATAGACAGAGAAAGAGGCTTAGATAGAAAGAGGGTTAGATAGATAGATAAATTTGATAGACAGAGAAAGAGGCTTAGATAGAAAGAGGGTTAGATAGATAGATATATATAGATTTTATAGATAGAAAGGCTGAGATAGATAGATAGATAGATAGATAGAAAGAGGCTGAGATAGATAGATAGATAGATAGATAGATAGATAGATAGAAAGAGGCTTAGATAGATAGATAGATAAAGAAGCTGAGATAGATAGATAGATAGATACAGAAGCTGAGATAGATAGATAGATAGATAGATAGATAGATAGATAGATAAGCTGAGATAGATAGATAGATAGATAAAGAAGCTTAGATAGATAGATAGATAGATAAGCTGAGATAGATAGATAAAGAAGCTTAGATAGATAGATAGATAGATAGATAGATAAAGAAGCTTAGATAGATAGATAGATAGATAGATTGATAAAGAAGCTGAGATAAATAAATAGATAG